AATCCTTATCTTCTCTTGTCTGCCCAAAACGTCATTAATAATGTTAAAATTGGAGCCACTTGAAAACATGAAAGTTATAGGAAATTGTCTAATTTTCTTGTGTAAAAACTTGAGGCCATTTAGACATCTACAACTCTATATGAAAGTTGTAGGCCTATGTCTTACCTTTCCATCGATATAAAGTAGACCTAAATTTGAGATCTACAGCTCCATATATGACCTAATTACCAAATAGTATTCCGGTTTGGATTGCACCAGCATCTCTTTTCTAAGTTTGCTCATCTCTTTGTCCTTTCAATTTCAGTTCTTCAATTCATCAATTAATCCTTTCATTTATGTGATAGGCCTGCATTTAAAATGAACATTTACCATAAATTAAAGTTATCTTATATTATTAGATATATTATTATAAAACATGCTTTAGTTAAAGAGTTATTGATATTTCAAATGCAAAAGGATGATACAAAATCTTGATAAAAAAACACTTTTAAGTACTAATCAACAAATCACCACCATCTTCTTTCACTTTTATGAGTGACTATTCAAATTCTATTAGTAGTTCTGTAATTACACCTACCTCTAATACCTTACTCGAGTCAATTCATAAGGCTCAGGCTCCCTCTTCTCCTCCAACTCCACGTATGACAACAAGATTGATGCATGGTATAACTAGGAAAAAGACCATTCTTGATCTCTCTGCTATAAAGATCTCAAAATCATACACTCTCAAACAAGCCTTTAAAGATTTAAACTAGACTCAAGCTATAAATCTAGAGATTACTACTCTTCATCGAAACCACACTTGGGATCTTATTGAACAGCTTTCTAATGTTAATATAATAGGCTGTAAGTGGGTGTACAAGCTAAAAAACAAGCCAAATAGGAGCATAGAAAGGTATAAAGCCAGGCTTGTGGCTAAAGGGTATAATCAGACTCATAGTCTCGATTATTTTGGGACCTTTAGTCCAATTATTAAGGTTGCAAAGATTCAAATCATACTATTGTTGCTCTTAGTTTTAAGTATGAAATTCAACAGCTTGATGTTCATAATGCTTTCCTAAATGGTGAGTTAGAAAAGCAGGTATACAGGTCTCAACCTCTTGGATATGTTGATAATAAATTCCCAATCAAAATGTGTATATTGAAAAAAGCTTTATATGGTATGAAATAAACATCAAGAGCTTTGTTTCAAAGACTCAGTTATGCTCTTCTATAGTGGGGATTCAGCAATTCTAGGACTAATAGTTTTATGTTTCTACACTTTGGTGAATCCACAACTTTAATAGTCCTTGTATATGTTAATGGTATAATCAACACAGATTTCTTCACTCATTGCTAAGTTTGACTTTGTTTTTGCCTTAAAAGACTTGGGGCAGTTATCCTACTTTCTAGGTATAGAGGTCTCTTGCAATGAAGGCTCTATAAATTTGAGCCAAACCAAATATTTTTTAGATTTGATACCAAACCAATAAAAACACATGATGTTGTTGGGCAGAATTTTTCCAAGTTTGATGGTAATTCTATGGAAAAGATTACTTAATATCAAAGTGTAGTAGCTCCTTTAGTAACATGATCTTGCTTTACAAGTCTTCATTGCTCTTGAGCTTACAAGGTATTTATCAATTCTACCAAGATAATCTTGGACAGATCCTTTGTATTTTCCAAGGCGGTTAAAGATGCTTCATATCTTTTAGACATAGTTACTAGAATTTTCTGTACAATTCGGCAATCAAAGAAATTTGTGCCAAGTAACCTTACCTTATTGACAAATCCAAGCAATTTGTCTGAATACATTTTGATGGTCTCATAATCCTTCATTTTCTACAGTCTAAATTCTCTTATCAAATTAAGACTTTGCCTGCCACGAATTCTTTTATCTCCTGCATACTCCTTCAAATAATCCCAAATATCTTTCGCTGATTTAAGAGACATAATTCTGGTGAAGATTGTTATGGAAATAACAACAAACATATAAGCTTTTGCTTTTGATTTCCTTGTTGTTCTCTCTTTATGATTTTTGATCTGAGTTAATGTTGGATTATTTGGTAAAGGAAGAACTTCATAATCTTCTTCAACGGCTTTCCAAAGATCCAAAGCCTCCAAATAAATATATATTTTTATTGTCTAGAGTTGATAATTTTTTCCATCAAAGATACGAGAAGAAATATGAGAGAAACTTGTTTCTGTCTCCATTACAGGTCCCTTTAAGATAAATTGCTTTATACCAATTGAAAGTATTTAAAATAGAAATGTTTATGAGAAGAAATAAAGATAAGAAGAAGAAAAGAGACAACAAAGATTGTATTTGAATTTATTTCAAATTAAATGAATAATCTGATTGCATACTTTCATTATAATTGTTACACATATATATTCAAACTACCAAGAATAGAACTGCAAACTTCTTACATTACATCATGTTATAATCTGGTAACATGATAATAGATTAACTAACTCTTAGAAATGATGACAATAGCTCATTATTTGCTTGAGAATTAGAAATAATAGAAACAAAAAAATCTTTAACAATTCCTTCTTTAACAGCTCTTGAAGTAATCTCCTATAGGATGCAACCCTTGCTCCAAGAACTATGTATTTCATGTTAGAAGAAAGCACATAAAAATCATCTTCACTTTATCTATTAACTGAGCACCTCATAAGTTTAAGGTTGTTTGTGTATGCAACGTTTAGCTTCACAAAAAGATCCTGAAAAGGCTGAAAAAGCTGCCTTAACAGGCTTTGAATCATCTATTGAAAACTATGCTAGTCCTATTTTCTAGGTACTGGTAGCTCCCTCACCAGAACACAAAACATGCAAATCAAATGAATTATTTTGGAAAATTTCCATTTTCAATCCATGTTTGGCAGAAAAGCCAAGAAAAGGTGGGATCCATCGGCAGAATTGCTTGATTCTTCCCGCTTTTACTCACTTGCCTAAAGACACATTTGTAAAGGATAATTATAACATTATTGGTGCATAGAACAAGCGACGACATCACAAGTCCTTGTTTGTTTGTCCCACCAAGCAACTTGCAAGATGGCACGTACTTGTTATAGTATTTGCTCACTTCTTCATTATCTTCAAAAAAAATGTCTCTAGCCAATTCTTGTGCGCTGCTCCTCCTCTTCTTTCTTACTCTCTCCCTCTTCATTACCTGCTCCACCGCTGCTAACACCATCGGTGTAACCCACACGACAGTGGCTG